GCTGCCAGGAGCACTCGCACAACCTCTAGATGCCCCCGCTCGATACTCAATCGCAGCGGTGTCATGCCGTTTCTGCCTTTGTCGAGCTTCGCCCCAGCCTCCGACAAAGCGCGCGTGGCTTCGACATGGCCTGCCGCCGAGGCCATAGCCAATGAAGTCTCATCTCCACAAGAACCGTCTATGTCAGCACGAGCTTCGAGCAAGAGCTGGATCACGTCCACATGGTTTCTTCGGGCTGCGATGTGGAGAGGTCCAACTTCCCAGCGATTGGTAAGCTGCAAGTCCGGGTTCTGTGGTCGATTCAGTATGGCTTCCTGGGTTCTTGTTAAGGAACTCGATTTACACAAGTTAACCTAATAAGAAAACCACATTACTTACTATAGGTCCCTATCATGGCAACTTGAAATTAAATTCTTGAACCCCTAAACCTTAGACCCATGTAGAACCCTTAGATGAGCCCTCAATTATTGAAACTTAAGAGTAGACTCCTTGACAAAAACCATATAGATCCCTTAAGCAACCCTATATCCCGATTATGGTACCTTAAGATTAAGTGCCTGAACCTAAACCCCTAAACCCTAAACCCTAAATCCTAAAACAAGAGCCCAGCTTCCACCTCCAAGGCCTTGCCTTCTCGAGCTGCGGTGATGAGCTCGGCCTCCTCGGCCTTCGAAGCCGTGCAGAGAGGAAGGAGTACCTGGGATGGCTACCATAAGGGAGTTTCCGAAAATTAGGGGTACCCTATTCGGGGTTCTTATAATAAGGATCCCTTAATATTTAGGGTACTGTATTAGGGTCCCCTATTTTCGGAAACTCCCATAATGGGGATCTATAAGGGTTCCTATTTAAGGGATCTATAGGCTGTAGGGTTATCAGGGTCAGGGTTTGGGGCTTCGGGTTTAGAGTTTTAGGGTTCCCTAAAATGATTTCTGTATATAAGTCCGAGTCCCTAAACGGGTAGGTTGTTTGAGGTTAAGGTATTGGGTTCTTGTTACCAGTATGGAAATTTACAAGGGTTGCTTTAAGAAATCTGCAAGGGTTCCTTTGGGGACTTTTTTCCCTCTCGCATTGCTTGGAAGTCTATGCCCGCTCGCGAGGTCTGAGATTTGGATACATCGGAAAAGGGGTTTCGACTCGCACACTCGCTGACGCAGGCACGGCTTCTGGGGGTTTAGGGTTTAAGGTTTATTAAGCTACCATTATAGGGATCCTGGACCGCAGCCAACCTACCTTTTTAGGTCGCCCTAATATGATTTCTTTATATATGTCCCTAAAAAGGTAATTTATTTGGGGTTAAGGTACCTTGTTCGGGGAATTTAGTGGTGATCTATAGTGAAGACTATGGTTTCCTTATTACGGAAACTTGAACAAATCAAGTTCCTTAACATGAGCCCAGGTACCAGTTGTATGTCGATGGGCTCAACCAGTCTGTCCTTGGCTTTGCATGTGCCACGAAGTAAACCCTGGAATCCTAGTCAGCCTAGGCCTGGCCTAGCCAGAAAGCCGGTTCGGGCTTGAGATCAGGCTCTGATGATCCCGTGAGCTCTTGCTTGTCGAGCAATTTGGGAAGACGAATACGAGTGCTTGTTTTGTTTAGCAGGATCGCTCACCTCGCGAGGCATCGACTACAGGGCGGCTGAGTGTCGGCATCATCCAAACAGGCGCTGCCATGAAGGAGTCTTTGCTGGAATCTTGGGGTGCCGCAAATCTGCTGCAGGTGCGTCTTCAAGGACCGCACATCATTCAGCTCTCTCACCTCACATGGTCTTGCGGACGCGCATCAAAGGAGGCAGTTCTAGTTTCGCACACAGGTTTAGCCGCAACATCATTACCAGCCCTGAGCTCGAGACCAAGTAAACGCAAGCCGGAAGCCTAAGCATCCAGCGTTTGCAGCTCGACTCCGGATCCTAATAAGGGCCCGTTATACTATAATGATAATAAGGAACCCCAAAAATAGTATTGGTAATTGTTTTTTGCTGATGTTTTAAAACCCATCCGAGTTACAGGTAGAGCGACGAGCTCTTCGCCAGAAGCCCTCCAGACGTGCAGCTTGGCTGACCAGTTGTATGGGCGCAAGCGCTTGCGCTTCATGCGAAAGCTGCAAAGAATAAGAACCCTATTTTACACCTAAGCTGTTAGCAGCTTACCTTAAGTGGGGAGCCCTTCATTGTCTCGGACCTTAACCCCCAATATTACCTTGAAGCTGTTGCGGCGTGGATGGGGGTTGCGAGCACTGTAAGATGCGCATTTTGAACAACAGTGTCATAGTCCGAAGAAGCTTTGAGCAGAGTCGCAGCGCGGATATACAAGGCTAAAAGTTAAAGCGTGTCGTATATAGAATCCTACAAGGTAATCCCAAAACGGAACTACTATGGAGCCTCTGGGTATGAACGAAAATGGCCGCCTTGCTTGAACCCCGGGCACAGAAGCCGGCACTGGTAGACAACTAGTCACCGGTCATATCTGCATGACAGCATGGAGTCCATGTGTACGGCCCCCATTCGCCAGGCAAGCACCACCGATCCGCTCAAAACCCGGTCAAGGCATCGTTTGAACCTTACCTCTAGTCTCCATTGTAGTTCAAATTGTTTAAGTTTGACCCACTTTTATATTGAGGATCCTACAAGGTAACCCCCAAAAGGAACTACAATGGAGACTACCTCGACCCACCAAAACCTACTTTTTTGTAGGGTCCCTATACGTCCCATATTAGAGTTTATGATAAGAACCTACAAAAAAGTAGGTTACGGTAGTTTACGGTATAGGTAAAATTCAGAGACCAAGCCAAGAACTGAACCTCAGATCCGGCTGAGGGCGAGACGTGACAGGCAGAAGCGCAATGGCAAGTGAAGGCGCGCCAGGCTTGGGGCCGAAACTGAAGAAGGTAGTGTACTTAAATCCCAAATAGTAGAATCCATATTATAAAGAACCCTAATTTCTTAATCAGGTTACTACATATATGGCATATTTGAAGCAACCTACAGGGATGTAAACTGTGTACACTGCTGAAATGGCGTCTATACTTCTTCCCTAAGGTCTACTATGTCTTCTGAGCTTGAAAGCATGAAAGTTCAACAGAAGCACGGCTTCGTGGCAAACCTCCTGTCAGTACCAAACACGGAAGCTCCTGATTCCATGGCCTCGTCCCACTGCTGCAGGAAGCCCCGGACGATTTGGGAAATGAAGTCCAGCGCCTCAAAGCCGCCATTGCGTGCGCGCATAGGCTCAGGCAGTTTGAACCTTTAGACTCGGAGGCATGTGGGAAGCAACAGCCCAACATCTGATGTTGCGGTGGCCGGCAAAGACCCACTCAGAACAGTGTTGAACAAACCTACACAAGGGCTAGGAAAATTCAGGGAGGCATGGCTCGACCTTAACGTCATTTGGCTTTAGCTTATTGAGTTTAACTTTCAGTCTTAGGCTTCCCAAATTACTACCTTGGCGACCACGCCAGTCGTGGAAAGCATAAAGCTTAGGTCTGCAAGCCCTCGGCCCCAGCAATGTAGATTTTGCATTCACATACCAGACACTAGAAGCACCAAGTCCGAAGAAACGTGACAACACTATAAACCGGTCACGAAAGTCATTGGCTCCTACGCCTTAAAGAGAAGACCTGATAAACTATAGATGCAAAGCTCTCAGCCACACAAGACCATGCATCATGAGCGGTCAGGCCTCTGTTCTGAGCTCTCTCTGCCTGACCTCAGGGCAGGGCTGTTTGCATTGGCCGCTAAGGCTTTCGTGGCTTCAGGCTCCGCCTCTTGGGGATTCTGCCTTTTTCCTACTCATGGGGAACTAACCCTAGGGATCTAAGGACTCATATATTAAGGTTTTTGGGCCCAAAGACCATACTATATAAGGCTTTTGGGCCATTTTGATCCCCAGGGTAAAGGTTAACCTTTTTGGATCGGGATTATATAGGCGAAAAAGGTTAAAGGTTACTGCGCCTACTCGACTACCAGGTTTTGGGTTTCCGGGTTCAGGCTCTGAGTTGAAGACTGGAAGGGGTGCGGGGTTGGAGATCGCGGCAGGCTTTGAAAGTTAGGAGACTGTGACATCTCGTTCGAGCAGGTTCCAGCGTTTAAAGACCCTGGGGCAGAAGCTCTTTTGTTCGAGCTTGAGCCTTTAACTACGACGAGAACCGACTGACAGTTTTATTTAGATTTGCTTAGTATACAATGACAACGCAGCAACAGCAATAAACGACAGTCGGCCATATTCACCGCAACAGAACGATCTTCTTTGCGTTCGTGACCGTCATCATCGAACAAAGTGCTGCGTTACTCGGATTTCTTGGATTGTGGACATTAATCTCCGAGGCGGTATGCCCAGACATCCCAATAAGTTTAGGGCTCTGTGGCACGCGCTTAGGGCTGAGGGTCATTCAGGATATCAACATGTGAGCCTCTAGCATCCAACATACTTTGTCAAGGAACTTCGGGTTTAGGAGTTTGGAGGCCTGCGGACGAGAGCTCTCGTGAAGAAATGTCGCTGTTAACACGAACCCTTTTTTCAGAAATACCGCCTGTGCCCGAATCGAACTGCATCTAAAAGCTCGCTACCTCTCCCGACGGCTTCCCGCGACTCGGCCGAGTCAACCACACAATCGCCGCCAAGTGGGTAATTCTTTGAGTTACGGTCTCCAGGAAGATGATGTTTGCACTGTGTTTAGTTGCCCGCCCCCCGAAAAGAAAGACATCTACCGACAGCTTGAATGGTGTGCTCCCACGAACCCGCCGAGGGCCTGCCAAATGAGCCGAGCTTTCTCCGGCTTCCTGTTATCATCTTACTAATCAGCCATTTCGACGCTCACGCTCGCACCAAGGTTGATCATTAGCAGCAAACATGACGATCCGAATGGGACCAATTGTTTAAACAGCATTTTCATGATGCACTGGCTGAAGCAAAGCTGCTCTGAACGAGAAGCTTAACATTGCTTGTGCGGTTCCTGTTGCCTGTCCGATCGCCATTCTTACGACGTCATGACAGACTGACTGAAATTAATCCCGCGGCGATTGTGGAGTTGAACAATTTGCGATTGCTCCGAATGCACGGTCCAGACGGCTACCACTTCTTTCACAGAACTTTAGCAAGGTCAAAATTCCAGTCCTATCCAGGCACGGAGGCTCAAAGCCCTCCTCAACAGAGATTTCGTACACCAGTCGTCGAAGGTACACATGCTTGATCGCCATCTCCCGGGCTCCGTCATCGCCTTTATACCTGTGAAATGACAGGATGTGAGGCTTGGGCTATCGGCAGGGGGCCTTTAATCCTAAAACCGTAGGGCTTAGGATTCGGATGGCCTGAACAACGTCAGTCCTGAATTCTGGCCCTATCAGCAGGTCTGATTGCTGCCCATCGGCTGGTTGCTGCAATAGTATCTCGTAAAGCGTACGCCGCGCTGGAGACCGGGTCGACCCCGGAACCACTCCTTCGCGGCTTTAGTGGCTTTGAGTCTTATGTTGCGCACCACACCGCTGATTAGTTCGCAGACAGCACAACAGTAAACTTATGACACGTAGATCTGTCCTTGTCTGGTCCAAAGCCTCTTACACTTAGGTCTGTGCATATGCCGGGGAACGCGGCACCGACGGTGTCGCCAAACCATAAGCCCCGAAACCTCCCTGCAGTCTTCGGCTGCGGTGTGGGTCCGTTTATTCGGACGAAATCTAAACCTCCCAAAAGTGCACACTTTCAGTTTTATAGTGGGTAGTATTATCGTAAAAAGTGTAAAGTGTATCCACTCAGCTACTACGTAAAGGGGTAGGCAATCTCGGCGTGTTTAGTTGCAATTCGGGTTTCCCGTCATTGCTAGATATCCCACAACAGAAAAATGTATACACTCACCACTACTAGTCTTTCTCAGGAGCCTAACATGCACGTAATAAACCCGAATACACCCTTGACTACCACGACTCATGACCTTCTGCATTTACTGGATATAGCATACCCTATGAACTCCGAATGAAACCGACAAAAAGTGGCCTGTGGCAGCTTGAGGTAGGAGATTGTAGCTAAGCCTGCCCAGCCTTCACAAGTTTCGAAGGCCTTCAACTTCAATCCGACAGTCAGCAATGCGACAATAACTGCGCAGCTGCCTGTGGTTTAGGGTCTGGCTTATAAAGCCACTGCTTAGCAGCTAAGCCGAGGCACACATTCCTGCATGTGCGCTAAGTCCTGACAGGGCCCTCTGGTGTTGTAGCATCGCTCCTGCGCGGACCATCTCACTGCTGTAACCGCTCTTATGCAGAATACGGCTTTTGGTTATTAAAAAACCCTTCACCCAATCGAAAACACACGCACTTTCCGGAACATTGACTTGAAATCATTCCCGCCGCTTAAAACTTATCTTGGGCTAAGGGGTTAAGGGGCAAGAGCAAGAGCGGCAGCATTACCAGGAGCAACACCAAGAGCTGGAGAAAGCAGGAGCACAAAGGCAAGAGCAGAGCAAAAAGGCCCCGGCTTGACCACGAACATGTGCAGCTAACACGGCGAGGACGACTATATGCATACTATATCCACACATACCTCCATATATGCATACCCACATACATAGGCCCATTCATGCATGCACTGCTGTTTCTGCTGTTTCGGGCGAAGAGTCAGTCGACGCGGCCCTTTGGCGTGCAACTAATTGAGAAAGTGAAACGTCATTCCTACCAGTTCCCCAAGACAACGCCCCCCGTGAACTCGCGCACCGTAAGTCCAGGAAGGCGGAGTAAAGGAAGATGACATGGTGGAACGGGGCTCGGAAGAGCGAGGCGAGAGGAAATGCCTAGGCTCCAGTGCTGGACAGCAGTGCGGACGATCTCACAGGCCAATTCGAAGCCGGGTAGTTGTTCGGAACAGAGCTGGGCAGATACAGGTGGGTCTGCCCGCAGCGGGAGAGAAAGTCCAAGCAAGGAAAAGCTGTAAACGCACTCCGAGTCAGAGTGGAGGAGGAAGTCAACATCACTGCCTTTGCTGTGTTCCTTCAGAACCTCAGTGAAATGGTAGTTGAGACAACGCTCATCCGGTTGGGACGGTTGCAGGAGCCCATACTGGTGTCCCACCTGAACCCAGACGGAGTCAGGGCCAGGAGGCCCGGGAAGGGGCCATCCAATGGGCGTGCAGTCCAGCAGGTCGAGATAGAGCCCGCTGAGCCGATAAGTATCGGTAGCGACAGTGGTGCCATGCATGTCAGGGGTTGGCACGAGCCACTCTACCAAATCATGGCAGCACAGCCACTGAGCACACGGTAGGAGTCGATCAGCAGCTGCATCAGGGAGTCCATCAGAGGTTTGGAGTAGGGCTCTCCAACATTCGGCAGTCTGTCGTAAGCGCGAGGCCTGTAAGCAAACGGAGGAAAAGGCGATCCTTAGTCGCTTCCACAATGCATCATCGTCGAGGCTAGGCACGAGCCCGTCGAAGGCAATCCAAGACTTCAGCGGACGGGCGTTCAGTCTCTTCTTCCACACTGAAATGTGTCGGTCCAATAGAAGGTCCGGACGCCTGTAAAACAGGAAGGAGAGATATGCTGTCGTCCGGCGCTTTGCGACTACCTATACCGGGTTCAGGGGTGGTGCGTGCCCCTGTCGCAAGAAGTTTGCGCCGGCATCCTCGGCTGTAGCCGAGGTGTCTGCTCAGCTTAACTGCAGACGTAAAATGCTTAAGGCAAATGGGGCATTGTGTGCCAGGGGCCAACCTCCGCATCTCATCTGTGCGTCCGTGTGTTGAAAAGGCATGCACAGACCAAGCTCGATAGTCTCGGAATATTTTGAGACAGATGGCACAGCACTCCTGTGGATCTGCAACAAGGTGTTGGTTGTCTGGCACATGGGCCCCGCTCTGTTGCAGTTGTTTGAGCAAGAGGCCTTGGTGTCGTAACAGAGAGGCCTGCCAGCACTCCTGTGCAATAGCGCAAGTCTGTGCGCGCTTGACACGTGCCTTCCATTTCCCAGGTCGTAGCTTGGCCTCATCATGCCACACTTCCCAGGCTTGTTCCCATGTAGGGTGGGTCTGCGTAGGATCGACTCGCTCCCACATCCATTGGACTGATGAGGCAGCTTGCCTAATCCAAACCCCCTCCCAGTGGGCCAGAGCCCACATCTCGGGCACATCGAGAACTATGAAGGAAAGGAGATACCGTAAACGGTGGACGTGGAGGTAGGTGTCAACACTTGGTAGGCCTGCAAGGGAAAGGGCCTGGGCAGTCCCAAGATGCCAGGCCTGTTCACACGTGTATGCCGGTCTTAGCATTTGACATGCCATACCCCTTAAGGTGCCAGTCAGTTTCTGTACACAGGCCGGCGTGGGTTCCGGCCAAGTGCCTGACCCGTAAAACAGCGTCGTAGCGACTAGGCTGTCAAACAAGACCGCTTTGTCCGAGTGATTGACATCGGGGGACGCAAAGACCTTCCGCTTGCGAAGATTGAATGCGGTCCACGCCTGAGCCGTTCTGGCCTTAACCTCATTAAGGAGACAACCTTTATGGTGTAGAACACCCCCTAAGTGCTTGTATGTGGCTGTGAGTCGCAAACGTGCGGCTGGCCACAGACGGCAATGCAAAGGGAGCGAACCGTGGTTGTCTACGAAGAGGCTTTGCCGAACTTGGCGAGCCCCTTTAGCACGAAGGTGCAGCAGGGCCTCTGTCTTGCCACGGTTGAGATTTGGGAGTAGAGCATGCTCAAGGCAAGCATCAAGGAGTATATGCACCAGCGGCGGTGGCTAGGGCGGGCTGTTGTAGGTGTTTCCGGATGTCATGGTAAACACCACTTGGTAGGTTCACGGCCTGGCAGGCCTTGGCTAGCATGTCCTCTGTCATTGGACCTCCGGTAACCAGCGGCCTGACTATACGATAAAAGGCTTCTTGTAGATCTAAAAAGAGGACACAGTGGCAGAGTCCCCGTTGCAAGCATGCCGACTGATAGAGTCTAGTGGCATGAGCCGGTAGTGTGACCGGGAAGCCCGGCAAACCGCCTACCTGAAGTGGAGAGGTGACAGCTCCGAGTGCAGTAATGCACTCCTTTCGGAGGAGCTTGTGCAAGGACTTACTCATGACGGAAGACACAAGTATACCTCGGTATGAGGTGCAAAGCTGCCTAGGTCCTTTGCGTTTGTATACGCAGTGGAGTACTCCACCCTTGTGCTGGACTGGCTCTGCAAGGGTCATGAGCGACTTCAGCTGTAGTTGGAAAATGGGCCTGGCCAATAGCGGGGCGCAATAGTGAAGGAGCTCACCTGGTAGGCCATCAAGGCCATACGCCCTATCGGTGGCCGTGGCTCTCAGAGCCCATTCAAGATGCCCAAGAGTGGGGGCTTCTTGGTGTGACACATGATAATCGTCGAGACACTTTGCCTGCTGCCTGTGGATACAGGCCTGCACGATTTCGCTGGGAGTTCGTTGGGTGCCAGCTTCGATGGAGGAGAAGTGGCGTATCCAACAATCCTTCGCCTCCTCGTGGGTCGAGGCAAGCGAGCCATCCTGTTTCTCTACAGCAGGAAGAGGACGGCGATCCCGCTGTTTACGTTTGGGGCCGCCCGTGAGAGACCTGAGCCGTTGGACCGTACACTGAGTGGATGCAGTGGTCGCTTCTGCAGCAACGACCTGGATGTAGGTGTTGTGGTCCTGGCGAATGGCTTTGCGCAGGTTCTGACTAGAGCAACGTAGGTCAGCTAAGTAGGCGGGGAGGTCTTTCAGTGCCCAGAGTACGGACGGCAGGCACGTCAGGGTGGCATGGATCCAAGGCCGTCGAGCCCACCACGCGTGGAAGGCAGCTCGGGTGGCATAAAACTGTAGGACCTTGGTAGCACCCTTGGCCCGTTTGCGAAGCCATTCACGTCGGTTGCGTACACATACATACAAACATACATAAGTACACACACACACACTTTTTACACACCACGGTACATATACAATGCATAACTACACTGCATAGATAACTTAGACGTGAATAGCGTGCGTTCATTGATGGACTTTGCACACAGCATACGCTGCCTTACAGCACCACAGCAATAATCATGTTGCAGTGCATTACATCGCACTCTACGTGGCAATGCACTACTTTGCCAATCAGTGCGTTACATACAGGGTGGTGCCCCTGACTTATAAGTAAGTTATAAGTAATTTTAAGTCTGATAACATAACTTATAAGTCCTGTAAATTAACTTATAAGTTCATAACTTATAGTAGAAGTTATATCTAAGATATTAAGTTATAAGTTATAACTTAAGTTATCAACTTATAACATAACTTGATAACTTAAGTTATAACTAAGTTATAGAAGTTATTTTTATGTTTTATTCATTTTCAAAATTTGGCGTCCGGTCCAGAAAATCATTATAAATTTGCAACTCGGGCCATGAAAATTTCAAATTCATATGAAAAATAAGGTTCCCGGCAAATTATAGCAATGACAACATGGTTCCGGACCGATTCGGATGCAACCTTCTTGAATCTAAATGTTGAAAAGGGATCCTGTGTGAAGTTGAACAATTGTTGTTGTTGACATCTGCAGCGTTTTGGCTCATACTTTTTGTTTACACGTGCAGAAAGCTCGGAGACGGTTGCAAAGCGATGCCTCCGAGCAGAGCCCAGATGCAAAACTGGACGACGTTTGTTTTGTTTCTGAACGATTCCTTGTGGCAAGATCTGCAAAGCGATCAACCACAGCTGGTTAAGCTGGACAGGCTGGCAAACTGCTTAGCACGCCTGGGACTTCGGAATCCCAGTGAGCTGACCCTGGCTGCCATCGGCGCTGTGCTGACAATGTTGGACACAGCAGCAGGAGAAACGACTCGCAACGATGCAACCTTGGCTTTCCAGCTGCTCGGCACCATTCGCAATCGAACGAAGGCTGCGATAGCTCGTGCTCGCACACAAGGATTGCCAGAGCACCAAGCGCCGATGAATCTGCCAGCTGTCGCAAACCACGTTACGGTTCCGGGGGCGTGGAGGCAAGCATTCTTTGCGGGAGGTTTCACGCAGACTCGCTTGGTCTTGGACACGGTGCTGCGTCACGCACGGGCATGGCCGTTGAGGCAATCGAATCGTTTGGTTGGAGCAGAGCGCACCAGAGCGCTGGCGCCAGCAAGGCCAGCGGCAGATCCTCTGCATTCGCTGCAGATGCTTTCGCAGGCGGCGCAAATCTTTCAGGGGCTCCAAGGTCGTTCAAGATCAGAACCACAGCTTCATATCTTCGGCGATGGCGGCAGGGCCTCGGGAGGCAGTG